GCCACCACTTACCTGTCACTCTGTTTCTCTCCCAGAAATGGAAGCCCCCTGAGGGCAGGGAGCCTGTCTACTTTGTCTTCACCACTAAATTCCACTGCCTAGACATTGCCGCTCATATAGTAGGTGCTAAGTACATAATTATTGAATAGAGGAATCAGACCCCAAAAGTTACATTTTTTAAATCAATTTAAAAAAATTTTAAAAACTGTATTTGCCACACATAGTGTCTTTTTCCCCCTCTAGAAGCATTCCTGTTTCTATTTCCAGGTTCCAAATACCACCAGGCATCAACTTTGTGTGATTAATATCATCAGCTGGCTTTTTTAAAAAACAAATTAATAACACATTTAGGCTCTATGGAAATGCCAGAAGCAGCTGGCGAAGACATTTTGCAATCCCTAAAAACACATAATTTTCAAGCCCAATTGTTCTTAACATTTAAGTTCTTAAAGTGTTGCTTTTCATTAGTAAATAGTATAAATTACCAGAACATCACTATATTTTAAAAACCTAAGAAACGACCTTGCGATTTTTAATTCAGCCACATGCTTTAGAAAACCAATTCCCCTTTTCCAGGTCCCCACACCAGGATATCTGGTGATTTTTCTGGAAGAGTGAGACTCTTGCCTCCTTACTGCTTTAAAATTCTAGGGTTCCTAGAGGTAGAGAGAGCCATTACCAATGATGAAATGGCTCTATTTCTTTTTTATCCCAGCTCTTTCCTCGAGACACCCATAATAGGATGTAAATATTTAAGCCGTCATGGAGAAGAAAATAGGAGTGTTGATCACAGAGGCAAAGGCCATCTCAGAGTTAAATGCTTGGGGACTGCTTTCAGTAGTTTCCTCTTTCTGTAGAGACCCTAAGTCCTGCTCACAGCCACTCCAGCATGCCATGGTTTTTGCATTTTTACTCAAAGAAGGAAGGGACGGAGGGAGAAAGAGAGGGAAGAAAAAAAGAAGAAAAAAAGAGAAGGGCAGGGCAGGGCAGAGGAGAAATAAAGGACATGGAAAGAATGTTCACCCCCATGGTGCTCCAAGCTTCTTATACCTTTATCCAGTCCCCCAGCTCACCCAGTCCTTTCCTCTGTGTCCAACAGAGAATCAGTCTATGGCAGGGGTGTCAAACTCATTTTCACCCGGGGCCACATCAGCCTCACAGTGGCCTTCAGAGGGCCGAGTGTAAATTGAGGACTGTATAAATGTAACTACTCCTTAACAGTTAAGCAAGAGCTTGGTGCTGCCACCAGGTAGAAACAAGGTGCCGGGCTGGATAAAACAAGGTGGAGGGCCGGATTCTGCCAGCAGGCCTTGTGCTTGCCACCTGTGCTCTACGGGAAACAAGATCCTCTGCAACTTCAGTCCTTCCATAAAACTCTCTGCTCACCTTTCTCTAAGGCCCACGCTTCTCCTGCATGTCTTTTCCAAGTAGAGCCTGCTCCTTCTCTCAGATTCCAGGCACCACAAAGACCTGAAAACACACCCTCATTGCTGCTTCTTCCAAACCACTGCTTTTCTGCTCCCCCATAAACCCTTCGTTCTCTGAGGCCCGTGACTTATCACTTCCACGATGACCCATCTCCTGAACACTGCCTCACATTTATTAAAAATTTAGTATTTTGGCCATCTCCCCTGACAAGTCCTTCAGCTCTGGCTGTATGTCGACCATCAAACACAACACCATACCCTGGACCTTTTTTTTTTTCATTTCACAACAGCAATGACTGAATTTTCTGTTTACTTGAGAAACATTCACTGACCATCATGCATATACTTGATTCTGTGATGCCCACTGGGACTGTAAATGTGAACAAGACAGAGAGAACCCCCATTCTCACAAGGACAATGAAAACTAATTTTAAAACTAGTGACAAAGGCTGAGAAAGGGAAGTCCAGAGAACCAACTGCAGAAGCATGTGGTGAAGGCCTTACTGGGTTTCAAGATTAAGGAAAGAACATCCTCTCTTTCCAGAATTTTCATGTCTGCGTTCCCATCCCACCCGTTCTCTGACTTCATCAAGAGACGCAGGACCCCTGATGTCCTTATCTTCTCACAATACATTACCCTTGCCTTCACGTTCTTTCTACCTCTCCTGGATTCATGAGTTACTATTTTAAATCATTCTTTTACTGACACTTTAAATTCTCTTCTCTCCATATTCTTCCATGCTCTACCTGGAAACCCTCAACCCTGGATCAACACAAATGTCTCTCCTCAGCAGCTAAGCCTTGTAAAGAAAAATTGCTCTACCGTAAAAAGTCGACACTCATTGGTTTCATCTTTGTTTGGACCTTCGGCTCTATTGTCAATCCCCCTTTATGTTCCCAAGCAGCCTTGTGCTTCCCAAGTCCTCACAGCATTTATTTCTTTTTAATTTTTTTATCCTTACCCAAGGACTTTTTTTTCATTGTTTTTAGAGAGAGGGGAAGAGAGAAATGAAGGTAGAGAAAGAAACATCAATGTGAGAAAGAAACATCAACCAATTGCCTCCTGTACATGTCCTGACCAGGGATTGAACCTGCAACCTTTAGGTCATGGGACAACACTCCAACAAAGCCACATCGAGCAGGTCTGCAGCATGATTTTGATTGTCTCCAACTCTTCAAGCTCACAACCTTATTACTCTCATTTTGAGTCAGAGAATAAAGTAGAAGTATTCATTCATTCATTTATTCACATATTCATTATTTCTCTTAGCAATATTTGAGTGCCGAGTACTTTTCAGGTGTTGGGGATGAATGAAAGAAAACAAAACTCCTGCCCTAACATATTTTGGTAGGGATGAGAGAACAATATAAACCTAAGGCACAGGGAAATGATATATGAAGTCTGTCCAGAAAAAGTTCAGCAATTGTTAATATAATGAGAATGATTTGCATGACATTGATGAAACCTGGCAGTCAAAGAGAGTGGACTGGAATGCACATGTTTGAACAATGATGACTTCACTGTACTAGTCAGTGGGGGCAGTAGATGCCATTAAGTGAGCATGTGTACTGTGTGGCCATTGCATTCAAAATGAGCAAGTAGAACAACAAATGTGCATCAGATTTTGCATTAAGCTTGAACATTCCTCCACGGAAACTATTTGGATGATTCAGAAGGCTGCAGCTATGGGCAACTGGTGACTGGCAGCTTCGTCACAACAATGCACCTGCTCACGCCTCATGTCTGGTGCAGAGGTTTTTGGCAAAACATCAAATGACCCAGATGACTCAGCTCTACCACAGCCCAGATTTGGCACCCTGCAACTTCTGGCTTTCCTAAATTAAAATCACCTTTGAAAGGGAAAAGATTTCAGATTGTCCATGAGATTCAGGAAAATACAACGGGGCAACTGATGGCATTCAGGAGAACTGTGTGAGGTTCTATGGTGCCTACTTTGAAGAGGACTGAGGTGTCTCTGCCCTATGTACAATGTTTCTTGTATCTTATATCTTCTTCAATAAACATCTCTATTTTTCATAGCTGGAGACCTTCTGCACAGACCTTGTGGTTGGAAAAAGAGTCTAAATGTTATGGTGTGTGGTGGGGGAAATTCAGCATGTTAAAGAGACTGGAAGTCTGTAGTGAGTTTTCCAACACGGACTAGAAAGTCAGGGTGGGCTTCATGGAGAAAGTGAGATTTGAGCACAGATTTAAAGGCGGCTAGGGGGTCAATCCATGCAGAAGGGCTGCCACTGCAAAGGCCCTGGTTGGAAGCATGTCTGTCACCTTCCCACACCCACTGGCATGTTGGAGGAAGGGCACAAAGCAAGGGAGGCAGGCAATAAGGCCTAATGGAGCTTTCAGGCTGAGAACTCAGCTTTTACTCAGAGATGGACGGGAGCCACTGGGGGTTTTGAGCAGAGAAATCAGGCAGCAGTTCCCTCAATGTATTGCCTTCTCCTCCACTTCGGTCTCATCTCCATACTCTCCATCCATGCTCCCTGATGTTTCCATGGAACAGTCGTTCCTTTTCTAGGCTGTTCACTTCTGTTTGGGGTTTAAGCCATTGAGGTCCCATCAGGAACTTCTCTCCAATTACCCCTGTTTTGCCTACACCTCGAGCCTCTACCTCTGGAAAGTTTATGTTGGCTGCAAAATCCCCAGAACTTCTCAGTGCCATCCTCAACCCAATAGCCCTCTTTCAAATGACTACCTTCTTTCCTGCCCCTTTCAGTATATGTACCTGAAAGACATCTTTCTCTTTGGTGTGTCCACTTTCTCCTCTTATTCACTAAGCCACCATCTCTTCAGTAAACTTTGTGAAAGCATACTGCCTGCCACGAACTATGCTGGAGACACAGAAATGGGGCACGTGGGCTTCACAGGGTGCGCAGGGAGCTGCAGCCCACCCACCCACAGAAACGGGTGGAGGCTCAGTCCACTGATGCTTCTCATTTTTCAGTTTTTCATTTTGTCATAATTTGACACCTCCAGAAAAGCTGCAGAAGTGGAAAAACTTCCAATATCCTTTACTCAAATTCCCTAAATGCAAACATTTTAGTACCTTAGCTCTATCTTCTATTCTCTTTTTATCTATACATGTGTATATGTATACAATGTATCTCTCACATGCTTTTTTGGAGTTGCAGATATGATGTTCTTTTAACAACACTTCAGTGTATATTACTTAAAAACATGAAATTCCTTTACAAAACAAGAAGTTTGCATGACTGGAAAAATCATACAAGTGAGACAAAAAGGGAAGGAACCATTAACATAATAAAGATAATTTAGTAGAAGACACACAAAAAAACAAAATCCCTTTTGATTTTACTTCCTTTATAAGATGACAACATTTCCAGCAACACTTTATCATACTAAATAAACACATCAGAATTGCAAATATGTGACGCTGAGAAAACCCGTATTATTTATATGATATATTGTACACATATATATACACACACACCAAACCATGCATATACACACATGTGTATACATATTTTAATATATAAATACACTGGGAAAAATTATGTTTTTATTAACATAAAAATCTAATACTTCTTCCTTACCTGAACCTGAGAAATTGTCTAAAGACCCGTCTGCTGTTGTTGAAACTATTTCACTGCTGCTCATTGGCTCTGTTTTAACTAAAAAAATAAACAACATATATCATATATCCAATTAATAGTTATCTGTAAAGATATTGTAGAAAAGATATAACATTCAAAGTAGTTACATAGAGAATTACTTTCAAAACCAGTCTTTTGTATTTAAATATAATTCAGATTAATATTCCTAATAGAATGTAGAATCTTTTAAAAATATTTGCATATTAAATATTTTTTCCCTAAGGAAACAATCTATTGTGACAAGTTACCTTATAAAAGAAGTGCTTTAAACTAAAAGTAGTTAAACTCACTGTTTCCTAATATATTTACTGAATTGCTTATTAATAAAAAACTTATCTCAAAATTTGCACAACATGGATATGAAATTACAATGGGTTTGTAGCCATCTGGCCAAAGATTTCAAATGATAGGATAACAAGACTTGAAGAAGTGGGAAGTAATGCCAGCAGGTGTCATAGTGCTCAAGGGTAGGTGCGTGTGTGTGCAAAACACACACACACACACACACACACACTTTCTCAGTCATCCAGCATGGCTGAAAGGCAGAATGCTCAATTTAATGGGTTATTATTATCACCCAGCCATACCTGACAGCCACTTTGTCAGTATCTGAGGTGCATTTAATATGAAAAAACACACTAAATGTAAATGAAGCAGAAATGTTTTCTATTTCCAAATAATACTGATAGCAGTCAGTTTGTGGAAAACACATATGATCTTTGATAAAGTCCCTTGGGGCTGTAAAAGGAAAACCTTGAGATTTATGCTCCAGGCTCTCAAAGCAGCCCACTCTACTGATACAGCGATGGCATTACTGCATTCCTGTCAAGCAGAGAGGCCAGAACACTGCAGACCATGAGCCATTCTCCCTAGTTTTCAGTTATTTTAAAATAAAGAGAGCTTTAGCATCTTCCCTAGAAACTGCTAGTGAAGTGCTGTATCAGAATCTGCCTGGCCTGCTTTATGGAAGTTATACGTCCCATTAACAGGTTTTCAGAAAGAGTGCAATAATATCTTAGTAGCGACCTAAAAGTCAATCATGTATTTTCCAAAATGAAGGCCCTAAGAAGAGAGTAACAGGGGACGCTTCCCTCACAAAGTAAACACACTGTGGATGGGAAGGAACGATGGAGAAAATGCAGCTTTTCCTGCTCTGGATGCCAGTCTCTTATAAACAACAGGCAAAGAACGAATTCACCCCTCCGGGCCTTTGAAATTGTTACTAATGCATACTGAGTAGCTTTAAAATAGGCATTATAAATAGTTGCAACAGATAGTCACTTTCAAAAAATTAATTATTTAGACTGTTTCTAAACAAAGTTGAAAAATAAAACCAGTGAGACTAATAGGAATCACTCCAGCTGCTTGTTTTAATGTAGACCAAACAATAGTGTAAGTGCAGTTTTCACTTTCCACCACTTGTTTTGGGTTAGAATTCTTAGCTGATGCTAATAAATTCTGACATAAGCCTATATTTCCCTTCTCCCTTCACGCCTCCAGGCCACCTAATGATCTTGCTCTTCGCAACCACCACGTGACCGTGGATTTGGGAAAGCAGACCCGCCTCTGCTAGTGCACAGTTCCCTACTCAGTTGTCCACAGCCTGTCTCACCCTCCTTCAAAAGACACAAAATGCAGTATGTAAACTCATACAATGCACACATAAAGCAATAGCTCTGTTTCATTCTGTACTGGACAGATGACCATGGGAATTCTGAACTCAGAATCACATACCACATGCCTGGCAAAAGATAAGACGGGACCACAGAGTACAGGTCTTGTAAAGCGCCTACTAAGTACCAGATTCTTTACTGATGTTATGATTAATCCTTTCAAACAATTCTATAAGCAGGTCTCAGAGCACAACTCACAAACTCCCTATTAGATATCACCTTCTTGTTTCACATGCAAAAAGAAAATGAAACCAGAGGGGTCAGGAATCTGCCTAAAGTCACACAGGAAGGGGGCAGAAATGGGATTTAATTTTGGATGTTTTTGGTTCCCAGGCTTGAAGGAATGGCAATGAGGAGTGCTTCCCGATATAAGAGCCACTCTACAACAGAGCAAGGTGGCTGAGGTGCTGCACCACTGTCTTCATGAGGCATAATCATAACCAGCTCCCTCTGTCTGTGCCGAGGAGACCTAAAGTCACTGATCACACACGCCGCCGTCAGTCACGGAGCACACGGGGCAGCCCTTGCCGTGCCAGTGTGCTCGCACTTCCAGGGAGTGAACCTCCAGGCCAGATCTCAGCAGAAGCTGAGCTGTCTTGGAAAGAAGGTGAAGAATAAATTTTCCATCGCGTGGGATGTTAGCCCAGATTACTTCTAAGTGCTTGCCAAACCTAAGGTCTGTGATTCTGTCGGTGGGGCCATAAAGTGACTCGGTGAAAGCCAGACCATATCAAAACTGCTACTCCCGTCCCCTAAAACCTACCTCAGCTACGCTGATACAACTGGCTTAATCAAATGTAGCTTTCACTCCCAAGAGACACATTCAATTATACTTGAAATTCCATTAAAAACAGGCAGAAAGAAAAGGAAGGAAAGGAAAAGGATACTTTTTCTTTTCAGCCCCAAGCACACTGCCTTTTTTCCATTGTTCAAATACACCCCTCTACACAGTAAGGAATAAAGACTCCCTTTTCCTAATGAATCCAATTTTTAAAAGGCTCACTGTTGAAGAGAAGAGGATGTACATAAAGTAACTATCAGGACAGTCACGATGTTATCAGGGACTGTAAGAGAATACTTAATCACTGGGGACCTGATGCTAAAGAGGCTGGTGATTTATTGTGATGTAAACTAGTTTCTGAATGAAAGCCAGAAGCACAGAGACCACTTCTGGCGTAGTTGTGGCCAAGAAGACACTCACTGGAAAGTTAAAAAGACCAAGTAATCCCCGGCCACCAAAACTTTACCCACCCCCACTAGCTAGCGCCACCACGGTTCCCCCGACATGCTGTGGATGACACGGCAGACCACCTCCCCCTAAGGCTTTGAATTTAAAAACACCACCAACTGATTTTTTTCCTTAGAGAGTTAAGCTACTGTCACATCTGTGAACAATTATCCCATCTAAGCCATCTATCTGAAAAGAAAAAAATCTGTGAATGATCTGTTTTCCTCCAAATCACTATAGGATTCTTTCTTCTCCTTTAGTGCATGACTTCAGTCTATTAGAAAACAGCATTTTTTATTCTCTGTTGCCCTGACTCGAGTCCATTTTTTCCCTATAACCACAAGATTCTATCTGATACTTCAGAATTCTTTGCTCCTTTAACATCCCTGACCCCTCCCCACACTGCCCCCCACTGCCCCCCCCCTACACACACCCCTACACACTCCTTCACTCGCCATGAATTCCAGCTGAGCTGTACCAGGCAATTGGACTCTACTCTCCACACGTGCTGGAAATTCCATCTATCGATGCCTTGGCACTTTGGTTTGGGACTCGGAGAATCCAGTTATTTAAGACTTTCTGAAAACTATTTTGATCTCTTCCACCTTAGTGATCTCATGTATAACATTTAAAAAATAACACCTACATTACAGGAACGCAATAATCATAAAATCTATGCATAGTACCTGGTCTGAAGCAGAAGCTGAAACTATATTTATCATCATCATTAGTAGTACAGGTATTCTATTTCTGCTACACTGAATGCCTTCTCCTGGGGAGAAGTTGAGTCCCAGGAAAAAATATTGAATAAAAAATTAAAAGCATCAGCCTTGGAATTAGCTATCATCTGAATTTCAACCTAGCTCTGCTAGTAACAGTGCAAACCTGGAGAAGTTATTCAACGTCTGCCTGTCTCAGCCTCCTCCCCTGCAAGTGGGTAGAACACACGCATAAGTGGGTGAAAAAGATAAATGCTTCTCAGTCATCTAGCACTGTACTCGGTCCAGAGCCCCTGCATTCAGAGCCACTCTATCATCAAAGTGTTTCTCATGGGACAAAATCTATTAGGACATTCACATTAATGTTAAGCTTACTTTTGAAAAGCAAATTAAAAGAATCTAAAGTTAAGTGACCTCACCAACTATGAGGCCATTGCCTCAGGAGAGCCAAACCAAAATCAAGGGAGCCTGGGTGTCACTTAAGCAGGCAGGACTACACCAGCATTCAGAAAACTTGTACCTTGGCCATTACAGTCAGCACCTATTCTTTCTGAAGAAATGGGCTGGCAGGTGAATTGTGATTGAGGATTTTAGGGGAAAGTGTGAGCATCTCTCCCTAGCACTATTAGAGGTGAGTATACTGCAAGTGGTCCATGAAAAGAGACACCTGTCTTCCTTCACCATGAGCTTAAATGAGGGCAGACCTATCAGACCACTGGAGCAGGTGACATTAGCTACAAAGATCATCCAACTAACCCCTCACACTGTGACTTTGCTCACGAAGCAAGTTCTGGTTTCACTTTGAATGTTGTAGCCATATACACAATCTTCAGGAAGATGACAGGCTGGGCAGAGACAAGTATTCAGTCCACCTGGTTAGTTATTTCTCACCATGTGTTAAGAGAACAGTTAAAGCAAGTTCACCCCAGAGAGGCAGCTCTGCCTGCTGGACTGAGAGCCCCGTTGTCAGGAAGAGTTCACCCAAAATGCACAGGTCTGGGTAAGCAGCAGGTCCCCCCCAGGCTATTAACCTCATCTCACAACTTTTCAAACTTTCACAGTACTGCTTGCCTTTTTTTTTTTTTTTGGCACACACTTGGTCTTCTATTTTGTGTCCCACCATAATGCTCAAGGACTTCAAAAATTCGGTTCCCCACTGCTCTATTCTTTATGATCCCTTCATATCTTCTGTCTCAGTGCAAAGCACCTTCATTCCACTTTGGTTATTAAATGGTTCAATAACACCACTGTCTAGAACTGCATCACTGCCAACAAACGTCACTTTTTACTTTTTATTTGCTCACTTCAGTCAGACTTTCTCATCAGAACTTCCTGTCTTGCCCTGGCTGGCATAGCTCAGTGGATTGAGCGCGGGCTGCGAACCAAAGTGTCGCAGGT